TATATATGGAATATAGCTCAATGAGAAGTTTTACAAAATAAATAAGTGAATAAGTAAATAAATAAGTTACTTAGTATAATCTAATAGGTGAGCTGCCCATTCTGTCAGTATGGTACACCTTGTGAGGTGCACATTAAGGATGGTCACCTTTCTCTTGGAGGCTTTAAATACCTATTTGTGCCCTCTGAATTTATAGCTGGGTTCCAGCAGCACATTGCTTTACAGCGTGGGAACTTGAGTAGACCCTTTTAACACACTGGTTAGATGAAAACATTGATTTAAAAAGCCAAGGGGAGAGAGAGAGAGAGAGAGAGAGAGAGAGAGAGAGAGAGTTGTGTGTTGTGTGTTGTGTGTAACTCAGTGTGTGGGTGAACATATGCAAATGGCAGATCACTTTTCATCTTTCTGGTAGCTCACAGAATATCAGTAACACCCACCTCCCAAGATCATTAGGGGTTTAAATGAGTGCAATTGCTTCTTAATTCTGCTTATAAAAATATCAATTCCCCAACTCATTATCCAATAACTTTCTTGTACAGGTTAGCATGTGTGTACCAGGGAAACTGTGAGCACTGTGTGAGGGGCCTGAGGCAGGGGGAAGAGGGTGCAAACCACTCAGCAGGCTTAGCTGCTCCCCTGATGGCATAGATGACATCAGCTGATTGTGGCATGCATTATTGACACCATCTTCCCCACATCATTAAGTGAAAATGTCTTGCACCATGCACAAACCTGGTGGGAATATGCACAGAAAATAGTATGCCAGGAGGGGCAGAGAGACTGAAGACTCATAAGGCAGTCAGAGGGATTAATTGCCTTGACCAACATGAAGACCACAGGACATGAACTTGCCTACACCCTGGTACCCATTGACTACAAGCACCTGTGGATGCAAACGTCTGTCTGTCTGTCTTTCTTTCTTTTTCCTTCCTTCTTTTTTTCTTTCTTTCTTTTTTGTCTTTTTCTTAATGTATTTGTTTGTTGTAGGGTGTCACCATGCAGCTCAGACTCTAGTGATCCTCCTGCTTTCAGCCTCCCCAGTGCTGGGATTACAGGCACGTGCCACTATGCAGGACTCTGGCTGGCTCAGCCCACACTGGCGGTGGGGCTGGTGTGGCATGTGGTGGCCAGGATCAAACTGCAGTCCCTGTGATTGCCTAAGCTTGCTTAAGCAGGTTCTTTAGTCTGCTGAGCTATCTCGCTGACCCCTGCCAATATATTCCTCATATCAAGTAGTAAAGTGCTAGGTGACTGGGTTCTATATATTTTGTATCATACAAAATCCATGATGGACTATTTGAGAATGATCTAGTTCGTCATATGAAGAGAAGCCAGCATCAGAAGGATTAGTACTACATTGCCTTCCCCAGTATGTGTAATCCAAAACAAAATGAAGATGACCTGAAAGTAGGGAGACTATTATTAGACAAGAGAACATGAATAAGGGGAGGGGAGGGAAGGTAATTAAGCAGGACAGATGGGATCAGAACATGTCATATGCACGTGTAAGAAACAATACAAATCATAAAAAAATGATGTAATATTTGGAGAACTTGGATAGGATATTTAGATGGGCTGGGGGTGCTTTATTTTTCTGCATTTAAAAATGGTGGAACTGCTGAACGTGGTAATCCGAGCATTCTGGGAGACTAAGGAATGAGGGTTACAAGTTCAAACCTTGCCTGAGCAAAACTTTGTTTCAACATTAAAAAAAAAAAAGAGCTGGGGTTGTAGTTCAGGGTGAAGGCCCTTGGTTCAATCCTTAGTCCCACATAGGAAAAAAACAAACAAACAAACAACAACAACAACAACAAACCCTTAGGCTACTGCTAAATGAAATAGGCTATCTGAATATGTATTTAGTTACAGATTAGATTCCATTCACAAAAGATGATTGTTTAATGATGTTTAATGATTGTGTAGTGCTGCATAATGTGTTTGCTGATACTTTTAATATACAAATTGTCTGTCTTTTTGTGCCTAGTCTTAGTTGTGCAAGGCTCAATTGAATTGAAAATTGTGTATATTTTCTTTCAGCAGCCTACCTCTCCTACAACACCCACCAAGCCTGTGGTGCCCCTGGACTGGGCATCTGGGGTGATGCCAAAGCCAGACCCTACAGTCATTAACAAGCACATAAGGAAACTAGTTGAGGTATGTAACTGACAGAGACTACACAGCGCTAGAAAGCTCCTTTCTCTTTCCAGAATGTTCTGTGATTACTCAGAATTCGATTTCATGGGTCAGATGCAGTCTGGCAGGTGGGAAGAATGTCAAAAAGACTCTCCCCATCTTGGTAGTGTTTGCCCACATACTCCAAGCTACTTCCGATTGCTTTCTTTCTTGCCACCATCTTGATATACTGTTGGGGAATTAGACTCATGAAAACCCACACAGGTCACAATGATGTGTCGTGAAAATTAGGTACTTGAGGGCGGGAATATACCCTATGAGTTGGATTGTTTTATTTGCTGTGTATTTTCAGAGTTCAATAACATGGCAGGACAATGTTATTGAAGTCAGAAAAAATCACTTTGTGTAGGATGAGGCTTCGTTAGAGTTTTTCACATAGGAAGAAGAGTTGAAGTATTCATGGGAAGATGAATACATCTCAGGCACTGGAAATTGTGATCCTGAATTTAACCTGTGCTGTATAATAGGATTGAGTCTAGGTGCTTTTCTCTGGAAAAGAATGTTTAAAGAAAAAGAATGTTCTACATCTTGGATAACCCAGGAAGTTGTAAGGCACTGAAAAAAGCTTTTATGCAGGAAAAGAGTTATAGAGGGAGAGCTTTTGCTGAAGGAGGGGGCTGGGAAGGCCCTCAGGTCCACTGGGGCCTTGAGAGGATGTGGCATTAACTGACCCAATTTGCAGCCAGGCAAGGTAAGGCCAGGGCATGTCTGACCATTTGCGTGGAAAGGCTGGCTATTTACATCATCTACTTAATACAAGTGGACCTTGTGTCTCATAGCCTCGAAAATCAGTAATTAGTTTAGTATTTTCTAATCTGAGTCTTTGTTTTTTTTTAAAAGTTTCATGTGCATTTCTATACTTAACGAGAGAGTTGGGCACCTTTGAAATTGGCCATCTGCCCTTTTATTTTGGTGATTGCCTGTTTTACTTTTGTGTCTTTGCTCTGTTATGTTGCAAATAATTTGGTGCCATTTTTCTTCAAAGGTGTTGACTGAGCTTTTTTTCATATATTTTGTAATTTATTATAACAAAATATGTCTTCATATATTTTGTATTTTATTATTAAATAACCTTATGTCTTCTGACTTTATTTTATTTGTTTATTTATTGTCGTTTTAGGGAGGGATCTACAGGGTGTTCAGGGCCTCACTACTAGCTTAGGCTCGTAGTGATCCACCTGTTTATAGCCTCCCAAGAGCTGGGATTACAGGCGCATGCCACCACACCCAGTCTTAATAGCCCTCTCAGAGCACTATGAGGGCAGGGTCAGCATGGCAGGCCTAGGGATCGAACCTCTGGCCCCTGTGCCTGCTTGCAGGCACTTAAATCTGCTGAGCTATTTGGCTGGCCCTATGTCTTCTGGCTTTAATATCATTCTAAGACAAACCTTTCTCACTCAAAGATGTTGAAACAGAAAAAAAGATTTTAATCTCTTTCCTCTCTTATTTTTATAGCTTTATTATTTTGCCTATTAAAATATTTAATGCATATAGAATTCAGTTTGAGAACAGTTTATCTTATGAGGTTATTAGTGATTTAATTTAACAGCAGTTATTGGATAATTGATAATTTCCCTGTGAATAAGTTGTACTGTGTTGTTTTGATAATTATAGCTTTGTAGAATGGTTCATTTTTGAAAGGGTGTGTTCTTTCTCAATTATATCTCATTTTAAACAATCTTAGCATATTAACAAACTCATTTCTATTTGAACTTTAGATATATCATGTTTAGTTAAAACAAATTCCTTCTTTCAAAATAGGTAGGTAGGTAGATAGACGGATAGATGTAGATAGGTAGATAAAAATTTAAAACATTTTCACTGGATTTTGATTAGAATTGCCCAACGCACATACCCATCAACTGAGGAATGGATAAAAATGATGTGGTATTTTTATACAGTGGAGCTTATTGAACATATGCTTCCAATATCTGAGATAATTTAACATTGAAGTTTGGCTTTCCGTCATCATAGTATTAATTCCCCAAGTGTGGATCCTACCCAACCTTGAGGTCTCAGTTTAGACTTTGTTTTTTCTGAGAATCTTTCTTAATCTGCAGTCCCTCCTTCATGGTGCTATATTTTTACTCTCTACACTCACTTATCCTTGTTCTATACAAAGGCTTCTGGAGTTAGTCATAAATTCTAAGCTCCTTGAAAGAAACGATAATACGCTATCATACTTTCAATGATCCCAAGCTCAGAGCCTGCCTCACAAATCATCATTTAATAAATTTGTGTCTTTTTATTTGCAGTCTGTGTTTAGAAACTACGATCATGACCACGATGGGTACATCTCTCAAGAGGACTTTGAAAGTATAGCTGCCAATTTTCCCTTCCTGGATTCCTTCTGTGTGCTAGACAAAGATCAGTAAGTTTTCATTTTGTTATATTTTATTAACACTGTTTTAAAGCAAAATATCATCAGAGCAAAAACTTACCTTTCATTTACATCTTGACGGCCTCAGTCTTAGTGCTGTGATGAGGCAACTCTGACCTCTCACTGATTTTTTTCTTGGTGTCTTTGAATGAGACCGCTTGGGTGGAGCCGTGGGGAGACCACACTAGCAGTGTTAAAAACGAGAGAATCCACTTGCAAATTAGCCCAGCTGTCCATTTTTCCCATTATTTCTACTGCTTAGCTATGAACTACATCATTAAAAAAGGATTGGAGGAGGAATATAATGAGATCCAGTTCTGACAAAGTCCTGTTCATCAGTGTACCCTAAAAGTCACTGAACTGGAGAAAAGCAACCCTTCTCCGATGCTGGTGGAAATGCAGACTGGCACTGCTACTGGGCAGATCAGTGTGGAGACTCTTCAACAGATTAGGAGGGGAGGCTCCATTTGACCTAGATGTTTTCCTCCTTGGTATTTTTTAGAAAATGAAAACATCATACCACAGCGATATATATGCACCCATGTTTATAGCAGCACAATTTGTCATAGCTAAATTTGGAAACAACCCAAATGCCCATCAACTGAGAAATGGATAAAAAAGATGTGGCATTTTTTATATGAGGGTGTATTATTCAGCTATAAAGAAAGGTAAACTTGAGGCTTTTACAGGTAAATGGATGCAGCTAGAGACCATGCTCATAGATGAATTAAATCTCAGACCAGCTTGTGTGAACATGGTATTGTCTCACTAATGTAAGAACCTGAAAGAAAGGTACAATAGATGTTGTGAAAGGGAAATAAGCTGCTAAAAAAAAAAAAAAGAACAACTGGGATGGGGGAAAAGAGAAAAGAAATAAAAGAGGAAGGAGAATACACACACACACACACATACACACACACGAGAGCTAAGATAATAATACTACTAATTTCTATTGGTTTCTTGAAAGGAACAGGTTGGTTCTTTATATTTTTTTGTATTTTAGGGAAGGGTTTACAGGGTGTGCAGGGTCTCACTACTAGACCGGACTCGTAGTGATCCGCCTGCTTACAGCCTCCCAAGAGCTGGGATTACAGGCACGCTCCACCACGCCCAGTCTCGATTGCCGTCTCAGTGAGCCCCAGGGGTGGCACCAGCACGGCAGGCCAGGGGATCGAACCTCTGGCCCCTGCTCCTGCTTGCAGCCACTTTAATCCGCTGAGCTATCTGGCCAACCCTCTGAAAGGAACAGTAAATGCTTCATTGTTTCATCGATTTTTCATGCCTATATCTGGTAATCTGAGCAACTACTTTGAAGGTAATAACGTGCACTATAACAACCGTTGTTGATTTCCTATCATCTCATTTTGAAAATCTGAATTGTTTTTGTTTTTTTATTCTCTTTTTAAAAAACTCATTGAAAAATATTTTTATTGTGCTTATTTTTATTTTAGATTATTTATGATCTTCATAAAAGCAGATGATGGCTGTAGATATCCAAGAAGGTTCTATACTTTATTTAAATTGATCAGTTTGCCTTAATATACAAGTAAGATTTTTTTCTTGACCTTCAAATGAGTCTTGAAAATTTTAATAGCTTTAAAAGCTAAAACTCAATTCACTTAGAAAAATGGTCATTTAAAAGAAATAATTGCTGAGAAAGCCTGACATTAACAACTGAATTAAATTTTAATTATGTGAGATTAATTCCTAAATGAAAAGATCATTTGTAATGAAATGCTGAATTTTATGCTAATGAAATATTCAAATTAAGTCACATTAGAAACCTCTAATATTTTCATTGACGTGAGCATTTAAAAATAAAATCTGTAAGTCATTCAGCATGCCAAGTAAAGCTTTGATACATGAACAAAACTGCTCAAGATCTTTTTTTTTTTTTGAACGTATTTAGTACAGGATCTACAGGGCTTCACTACGTAGATGGGACTCATAGTGATTCTCCTGTTTCCAGCCTCCCAAGAACTGGGATTACAGGCGTGTGCCACTATGCCCAGTCTCAATCACCCTCTCAGCGTGCCCAGGGGTTGGGCCGGCACGGCATGACGGGATTCCAACTGGACACTGTGCTCTGCCTAAGCGGGTGCTTTAGTCCACTGAGCTATCTGGCCGGCCCTCAAAACTATTCAAAATCTTAAATTTGTATTCATTATGCACTATAAGCAAAGAATATTTTAAAATTAAATTGTATGGGTAGAAACAAATTCCTTTTACAAAGTAAAATTGAAGTTACCTGCTAACTACCCACTTCTTTCTTTAGTCTATTAGAATAGGTGGTATGTAAGCAGGCCATTTAAAATCACTTTCCCAGTTTCCTTTGTTTTCTCTGCTGGTTCTGTAGACGGTATATTCTCTAAGGTGCTGTTTTCCTCTCAGAAAGGCATTGACCGTCAGGCGGGAAACACCTGCTGCAACCTCATAAGTGCGGGCGTTTTCGTCACATGAATTCCTCTGGCTTTTCATAAGCCACAATGCGTTGTGCTCTCCCAGAGGCTGATGGGCTAACTCATTTCACAAACTTGTTTGTCTTTTGTTTGTATTTCTCAAAGAACTCTCTCTCTTTATCCCCTATTTGCTTTTGAAAGATATGCTTTTCCTCAAAATGCTCATGAGGGGATTTGACTGACCTTGTCAGATACAAAAGTTACATTCTTGGTATATAGGTCTTGCTTTGTCTTGGTCTTAACCATCCAGCAGAAAAGTATAAACACGAGGTATAAAAAGTAAAGCCATATTAATATGCTGAACTGTAAAAGGCTCAAAACAACAACTTCTGACATTGCCAGTCCTATGGATAACCCACTGCTGTTATGGGCTACGGGACTATATTGGATTATTTTGCTGAATTCACACATCTACAATATTTGAATGACAATGGAATACCCATTTCTGACAAAACTAAACAGAAAAGGGGGATGTAAATGAAGGATCATTTTGTAGTGAAAAAAATATCTATCTGTATATACAAAATAGGATAGCTATACAGCTACTTTTTCTTAGTTCAATGAGAAGAAAGACGTACTAATAGTGTTTAGACAAGATATCATGTCTGCATCTTGTACTCTGAATAACTACTATGAAGACAACAATATACAATGTATTAATTATTGTAACTGTCTTACTCACCTGTTTTGAAACTGTCTCATTGCTATTTCTTTCTCAATAAAATTAATAAAAACAAATACTCTTAGGTGACTATTGCCCTAGGGCAGTGATGGCGAAACTTTTCCAGACCCAGTGCCCAAACTGCAATCCAAACCTTCTTATCTTTCACTGAGTGCCAACAGTGCAATTAAAACCAGTGCCATTAAATCAATTAAAGGTTTTAGTTTAGAAAGAACAAGCTGCTGAAGCGACTTGGCTGGGGTGACAATGGAGAGGACCCTCTGCTTGGGGCTGCCCCACAAGCCCCATAGGTTCACCATCACTGCCTCAGGGGAGAGTTAACTTCTTTTTTCCAGATTCGGAGATTACCCTTTTTCCTTGAGCTACATCTCCAACACTTTTTCTTTTTTTTTAATTTTGAAACAGGGCTTACTAAACAGCCCAATCAGGGCTTAAACTTGGAATCCTCTCGCCTCAACCTTCTAAGTAGCAGGGATTACAGGCATGGCCCACTGGGTACAGCGAGTATTTACTTTTGATCTAGCTCCCGTGAAAGACACCATGGAGACAAGTCATTGGTTTTAGCCATTTTGGGAGGCTTCAGTGACCAAATACAATGCCTCCATTCACTCACTGAGTGGCCCTTTCAGAGCTGGAAGCCTCAAGTTGGTCCAATTTTGGTCATCAGAGTGCAACCAGGGTGGATGTGAGCAGAAGCACAAAGGGTGCTGTGAGTCATGGCTGGGCCCACTGAACATGGTGGCGTATGCTGGTAACCCCAGAACTGCAGGAGACTGAGGCAAGAGGACCCAAATTCAAGCCCAGCTAGGGCAACTTAATAAGCAAGACCCTATTTCAAAGAATAAGAGAGACTGCACATACAGCTCCACATGAAGGCTCGAGGTTCCACCCCTGGTACCATAACAAATATACAAGATACCCAGGGCCGGCACAGCTCTGGCTATACTGATGGAAGTTGTCCTCACCATTTTGAGAACCACAGCCCACTGCTAACATAAACATTCCCACCATGGAGTGGGAAAGGAGAAACCATTTTTTTGCAAAGGGGTGTGGATAGTTTCAAGTGTGTTTCACAAGATACTACCAGCTTCTACAGCAGATAAACGTTAAGCTTTCATAGTGCCACACATTAAGGTTTTGTTTCTCACTCATGTGAGCCTGGAATTCTGGAGGCTATCCATCCACATTCTCTGGTAACCCATGGACTGGTCTCCTCCCGTTTTGTGGCTTTGCTGATCTCTAGATTCCTGGAGGCTTCCTCATTTATGTGGCAGATGAGAGGAGGTGGAGAAGCATGGTGGTTTCTTAAACTCTTTGGTCTTGAAGTATCATGTATCATATCTGTTCAGTTAGTTTAATGATTAGTAATCACAGGCCCCCCACCTAGACCAAAGAAGGCTGGAAACTGTAGCTCCTAACTAGGCAGCTGCTTGCTAGTAACTATGTTAGTTGACTTTCCATTGCCATGACAAAATGCCTGACACAAATAAATCTAAAGGAGGTGAGATTTAGTTTGGATTATGGTTTAGAGGTGTCAGTTCATGGTTTGTGGCTTCCATTGCCTTTACCCTGTGGCAAGACAGAAATATAGTAGAAGGGTGGCTGCTCACTCCATGGTAGGCAGGAAACAGAGTACAAGAGCCAGGTCAGTACCTACACACAGTCCCCAAGATCCTGCCCCTAACAGGCCTCACCTCCTGTTTGTATCTATTGATTCTCAATAACCCAATCAAATTATGAGCTCATTCATGGATTAGTCCACTCAAGCCTTCATGATCTAGTCACTTCCGAAAAGGCCCTCTAAAGCCTTCAATACAACGGGCCTTTTGTGGGGACATTTTAAATACCAACTATGTAGTAATAGATCTCCATGATGGAAGATGATGCCCATGTTAATTAACAGGCATTGCTCTTCCTTTATCTATTAAGCCATGGAAGGGACCAGAGTTGCTGCCTGAGATTGTGCTCCTGAGGCCCTATTTACTTTGTATTCTAGTAAGTGCAGTCGCTGGGTTGTGCAACATCAGTGATGACATCTGTGTTTACATCTATCTCCATGTCTCTATTCCTGGTCCATATACCCTTTTTCACCTTTAATGTGCTTTCAACAAGAAACCAGGCTCCCTTTGTGTGCTTGTGATTTCATTTGGGGATATCAGTAAAATTTGCTTTTCTTTTAAAAATTCTTTTATTTATTGATTTGGTACAGGGTCTCACTATGCAGCTCGAACTCGTAGTAATCCTCTTGTCTCAGCCTCCCCAGAACTGGGATTATAAGTGTGAGCCACCATACCCAGTATTGGTGGCCAGCCACAGCATGGGGCTGGCACAGCATGTGGTACTGGGGATCGAATCCAGGTCCTTGTGCTTGCCAGGCAGGAGCTTAGATCACTGAGCTATTTTCTCCACCCCAAACTTGCTTTTCTTAAAATCAGCTGGCCATGGTAGCACATGCCTATCATCCTATAATACTTGGGAGACTGAGGCAGGAAGATCACTGAGAGTTTGAGGCCAACCTAGGCTATGGTAAGTTCAAGGCAATCTTTGAACTTCACAGCAAAATCCTGTCTCATAAGAAAAAATAAGAAAAGATGGGCAAGACACTAAGTGACTCTTCAATTGTTCTACATTTTATCAAGAAAGTGTGGCTGATAAATAAAATCAATAAATTGTACTAGGCATTCCTTAAGTTGTTTTGTATATGAGACAAGAAAGGGATCTTAAAATAAGTCTGGAATAAGCTTGCAGGGACTTCACTTCTGCAGAGAGAGTCTGAAAGCAGTAAATGGGTTCTGTACAAGTGCCACAGAAAGGGGACCTGTTTGAAGAAGTAAACCAGGACAGCCTGGAATTACAGGGTCTGCAGAGGAGGGGGAGCAAAGGGAAACACGTCCCCACATGGCACGCTGCCAGGGGTTAGCAAGCTCAGGCAGCGAGGAGAGGCCACTGCCGATGTCCTTGGGGACAGGTCCCATAGAACATAGGCTCAGCATCTTCACTGTTCAAAGAGTGATGGGTTGCCTTAGTTACTTTTGCATCACAGATGCGGAACCTGATGTCCACCACTTGAGGAAAGGCTCATTTTGGCTTACAGTTTGTAGAGGTCTTAGTTCATCGTCAGCCAGCTCCAAGGCAGAGCAGCAGAGCAGACGATAAGCTGTGCACTGCCTGGCTGTGAGAAGAATCACAGGGAATCAAGGGGGAGGGAGAGAGACCTCTTGAGACCACGCCCCCAGAGATCCACCTCTTCCTATCAGACTTTTCCTCCCAGCATCACTTTAGCTGTAAACTCTGCAGTGGACCAATCCGCTGTCGAGTATCACACCCTTGTGACCCTGTCATCTCCAAAAAGCTAAACCTATGAGCAAATGAGGCTTTGGTGGGACATCTAGATAGCAACCACAACACGGATGGAGCAGTGAGACCTTGATGAGAAGCTCTGCCAGCAAGCAGCCCGTGTGGCATGAGGCTGAACTGATGTGAGAACTGTGGGCCCAGTTAATGCGGTCTCCCACCTCCCGCCACAGCCCCATTCTTGCAACCCTATTGCTAGACAAGGGCTAGAAAGAGGTCCTCCTGGAAGCTACTGCTGCGGAAGGAAGGAAGGAGACTGCTGAACTGCAGTACACAGGCCACATGTATGCACATATGTGCATGGTCCCATGCATGCGTGTGCATACACACACACATACACTCACACTGACGTGTGTGCACATAATTTTCTACATATTGAATAAGCTGTCCCCTTGTTTCAGATGTAACAGGCAAGTGAATGTTGCTCATCTGCTTTTGGCTGCAGAGCTTTGGAAGGTGGGTGATTAAGTTGTGGCGACCACTTAACAACGTGGCATCCTAGGATCATCCCTTTTTTTTGTTCTCCTAACAGGGATGGCTTGATCAGTAAAGATGAAATGATGGCCTACTTCCTGAGAGCTAAATCCCAGCTGCACTGTAAAATGGGACCAGGATTTGTGCACAACTTTCAGGAGATGACCTATCTCAAGCCAACCTTCTGTGAGCACTGTGCTGGATTTGTAAGTCTGTTTTCTACTGTTTTCTCTTGTGTGTGGTTATTTTTGCAGCATTCTGGAAAAGTAGTAAAATGACACACTAAATAGAAGCCATGGGCTGCTTTGGATCAGGGGTAAATACGATGGTTGCGTGAAATAAGAAGGACTGGTATGGATTAGAGGGTTGGGGAAGCCTGTTAGCGTGCGAGAGCAGTTTGTCTGCTCACTGCTGCTAAGAGAAAGGCATCAGTCAGCCCAAGGGCCCTGGTTCACCTCCAGTATTTGGAGGTGGAGCAGCATTTATCTTAGCCAGTTCCTGCCGGCACTCACGTGTATGGCATCGATGAGGAGAAATCCATTATGACCTGGCTAAGAATGCCCAATGCAAAAAGAAAGACATCTTGTGGAGAGAAGATATAATAATAAATAACGTGTACTTAGTACATAACAGTAACACAGGACTTCAGCAGACGTTGATATAACGAAGCCTCACAGTCAACCATACTTTCCCCATCTTGTCTGTAAAGCTAGAGAGGCACAAGAGGCTAATGAGGTCTCCAGGACTGCGCAGTTCTTAATTACTAGAGCTGAAGTTTAAACATGTATTCTGGTTCTGACTCCTACACTCAGCCCACCCTAGTGAGTATTGCGCATTCATGCTTGTGCATGTACACACACACACACACACACACACACACACACACACCATGGTTAACAATTCTTTGGGAAGTGGGGTCAGCTTTTGGCCCCAGAATTACACAGAGATTCTTGGGATCTGACTGTTTTCTAATTGATGCTCAATTTAAAGAAAGTGGTACAAGTGTTATTTCAATTGAAGGCAGCCCAGCACAAAGCAAGTAGGATGACTGCTCCTTTCTCAGTGTCAGAGCTCACTTATGTCAGCTTTACTGAGCAGTCATGTTCCACTGAATGTCCTGCTGGTATTTTGTGCTATCATCGTGTTCCTTTTTTCCATCCCATACTTGAAGCTTTGGAGCTGGACATGGTGGCACATGCCTGTCATCCCAGCACTTGGGAGGCTGAGGAGGGAAGATCTTCACAAGTTTGAAGCCAGCCTGGGGTACAGAGTGGGATCCTGTCTAAAAAAAAATGTAGGCATTGGGAAACCCAAAGGTGGAGTTTGTGTGCAAGTACTCGTACCTCTGAGAGGGATAAGTGAGAAGTAGATGTTTCAGCAAAGATCACCCCAGGGGTCACAGCAGCTCTTGTGGTCAGGGGCATGGCCAGCCTCCCAGCTCTTCCTGCCCACCCTATGGAAGGGAACATTTCCTCTTCTCTTAGCGTCTTCACTGGGAGCACATTATGGACCACTTTACTGTAAAGTGAATGTACCTCCTTTTTCACAGATCTCTAGTTTTCTATTCTGATGGGAAGTTTTGGAAAGACCTAGACCAAAAATGCCGAAGTGGGATGGGGCCATGTGTGACAGCCTTCTGCAACCCACCAAGCAAAAGTTCAGGCTATTAGGCTTGGCATGGCTCAGCCAAGTCATGCATCCTTTGGTGGAGTATGAGAGTCAGATGGCTCCTGGCAGCTCTCAAGGCCTTACCTAGACCTTCCTGTCCAGACTCTCCCTCCTGTCTCTTCCTCTCATCTTATTGGAGTAGTTACCTTTGGTCTTCATTCATATACATTAACAAGTGCATTGGTTTTCACAAACAAATAATACTAAATATAACTCTAAAGATGTGTCACCAAAAGGAATTGTGGAAGAATACAAGATACCATTTTTCCAGGACCTGAACCATCTGCTTTGGAAATAAGTTCCATTACAAGGGGAAGAAAGACCAACAGAAACCTCTTGCTCTGCAGTACACTTATTTCAGAATTAGAATTCCAGAACTGAAAAAGCATTGGTAGTTTCTAGTCTCAGATATTTTGTAGATGAAGATCTGAGATCTAGAGAAGTGAAGTGACTTTCTGCGGTCACATGGATTATTAGCAGGAAGACCAGGAGCAGGAACCATAGCTGTTTCTCCTGACCCTCTGTCCACTGCTCCTCACACCACGAAGAACTACTCTACACAGTACAGCAACCCATGTTCTCAAGTCCGAGGCTGTGGAAAATCCTCCTGCATGCCCATCTACATGAAGTCACCTTCTTCTACCCTTCGCTGGCATTCTCCCCTGAGTTTCCTGGTTAGTGTTTCTCCTGGTTATTCAGTGAGCATTAGCAGACCATGGCCTGCCCTGCTTTGCTGACTGGACTCTTCAGCAGTGGCTGCAGCTGTGCTGTGAGGGTCTATATCTGAATGTTGGGAAGCCTTCTCCCATCATGGCCTTTCTGGTTCTACTCATGGCTTTGTTCATGTCAAACACCCAGGAGCAATGTTTTCCCATGTTTTCTTGAAGTCACATAGTCTTCTGTGCCTACCTGGTAGCTATGAGACCTCACCAAGAGACTTCACCTCTGTATAGGTCAGAGTTCTTATCTGAAAATGAGGACAATATTAATCCTCTATGGATATCATGAACATTGAGTGGGTTAATACGAGCAAAGAGCTTAAAACTGCCTTTCACATAGCAAGAGTTCAATACCTAGCCTAATAATTTTTATCCTACAGTGTTCCAGGCTGTGGGACCTTGGAAAATTATTTAATTCCTTGGCTCATCAATTCACCTTTTGCACAGGAGAAGCCAGCCATTTTATCTTAAAACTTCTTTTATCTCATGGCGAGATGTGATTGCCCTGGTTCTCCATCACCCTCTCCTGTCCTTGTCTCTCTTCTGTCTTCTCCCTCTTTCTGAGCCTTGCTACCATTTAGTTGCCCAGTAATCCTTTCTGTCTCCAAGGTGGTATGATGTTACCCTGATTCAGGAGGTATTTGCATCTTAATAATATATCCTGAAGGACAAAATAGCTTTTACAATCTTTATTTTATTTTAGATATTTCATCATTTCATTTCATTTGTGGTATTGGGGAATGAACCTGGGGTCTCTGCCCTGAGCTACTTCCCCAGCCTTTGTTTCTTTGTTTGTTTAGTGACAGGGTCTTGCTGAGTCATTAAATTGCCAGGCTAGTCTTCTAGTCTTGGAGTCTTGGACTTGTGATCCTCTTGCCTCAGCCTTCCAGATTGCTGGGATTACAGGCATGCTTCACCATACCCAACTGTCTCCTAATTTTATTTTCTAAAATCTTTTAAAGTTGTTATATATGTTTGTGAACACATATGAATATATTGATCTTGAGGAATTGGAGATA